GGGTGATTGTATTTGAAAAATAACAAGTATTACACAGTTTTCTAGTGAACAAACCTGTTATTTTGATGGATTAACCCTTTACAACTCAATGTAAGAAATAACAAGATTGATCTATGTATCGGCTTAGGTTAACAAAACAGTTGAATAATTATCAAAACATGTTATTAGCTTTATATACCACATTATGACAGTGAAAAATAAATATAATTAGCACTTGCATCCTGCAGTACTCAGATCTTCCACAAGGAGGCAAACAACATGCTTTCAATGGAGCAGAAGTTAAAGAACGCACTAATCCTGCTAAGAAACTTCAGCTTGGTACCCACCACAAGAAAACTATGCCGATTTTTGACCTGATTCTCTCTTTCTGGCAGTCCTAATGATGACTCTGATTACCGTAAAGGCCCTAAAGATAATCTTGTCAGATATTCCTGCCGTGTGTGATGTGTCAAGAGGGCTCTGGCCTGCTTGGAGGTGCATCAAACTCCACCTCTCCAATCACTGATTTGAGATATTCAATCTTGGATTTTCTTGGTTTGTTGTAGCGTGTGTGATTTGCCACCAGGACAAAGAGCATTCACCCAGCTGGATATGACGTGTATCCAATCAGAAAGCAAGGTAATGAGAATCCAAGGCCCAAGCCCAATGCACGTACTGCGCCCTGTAGTCTTCTGTGAAGTGTACTTGGAAGAAGTGCACAGTGTGCCCTGACGCACACTGGAGGCATCGGCGGAGCAGAACGGCACCGCTCCAAACAAAATCTGTTAGAGTCTATGGGGGTGATTCAAACCAGCTGTGACACGACAATTTTCAGACGCGTCCCGAAAGCAGCACACAGTGCAGCTCAAGATAGGATCAGGTTGTATTTTTGCCGCGAGCCACTTCTGGGACGTGGCAATTCCCGCAGTTAACATAGGGCTAGACAGGAAATCACACGGTTTCAGTGCAACACCCCTCGGTAATTTTCAAGATAAAAGTCTATTGCAGAGATGCGACATCATATCTATGGTTACGTCAATGCAAGTGGCCTAACAGCTTATTTACTTCCTGCATCGTTCCGGAAGTGCAGCGGCGTGTTTTTCTTGGCTTTAATCCTGGTAGTGGACAGGATCAACATCATATGACATCAAACAGCGATATCAAACGTGATTTCCTTCTTTCCTTCTCCTTCTCTAACGTGGACGGCATAAACTCGAGGGATTTTGTTATCTCGCTTGTTGAGTGAGGAGCACAGCAGAGAAGCCACTTTGCAGCGGACCTGGGCGAAGTACGGATCAATGGTGCAAAAGGGGCGTGGTCAACTTCCGCACTTGAGGATTGGGACACTATGCACTTGCGACCCTGTACTGGAATGTGCAATTGCAGAGAGCAAGGGTTGAAGTGCGAGAACTGGGATTGGGTCCAAATCCTCCTCCTTCTCCGCCATGTTTGTTTACTCCAAAGTCCCCTTTGATCTCAAGAGCTTTGGTGACATTACCCATCTGACACGGGAATGTGTGTGCGTAGTTTCATTTATCACCTGATCATTTTTTTTTCCTGCTTTCTCGATTTTTGAAAATCCTTTTGACATTTTCAAGATTTTTCCCTTTGACCAGACCTCGGGAGTACGTGGAGCAGTTTTGACACTTTTGGCTTTAAAGAGTTAAAAACGGTTGTGATAAAAATGTTACAAGCAGCAGATCAGTCTCTGTGCAAGATTCTGCTGAGTTGCAGAGAACATGCTCGGTCTTGTATTACTTGAAATCCTTCAGTGGCGCAGCTGGAGTCTCTGTCAGGCTGTTAAAAACGGCACAGCAAACGATTTATTCTACCATGTTGGGCAAAAGGAGATCTGAAGCACTCAGGAGATACAAAAATGGGCTCATGTCGAGCCCTGGCGAAGGCCCTGTGGGCTGAAACGCGTCTGCACTTATGTTTTTAACTATTTAAGCCATGCACCAATAAAGGCTTTTTAATTTTGCATCTCATGAGTGCCTCAGATCTCGTTTTGCCCAACATGCGTGTGGATCCGTTGGCTGAAGAGCACCAGAGAGCAGCAGCTAAACATTTCTTTCACCCCTGCAGCACTTCCAGCGTTTTTTCTGTTTATTCTAGCAATCAGTAAACTTTTACTGTTCCCAGTGTGGGTGTCGGGTACTGGCTGCAACAGAAAACCCTAACACAGCAGTAACCTCAGTCGTCGGTCATCAGACTTTCCTCGGAGGCATGTCGGATTAAAAAATAATTCATGTTTTGCAGGATTACGTCAGACTAGTGCGTTTGTATTCACGCCTGCAGATGGATGGATGTTTATCTGTCATGGTGAATGTTGCCCAGCGGTGCAAAATTAGAGACGGTAATGTTCAAAACAATTGGTTTAAATTTAACTGTAAAGTGTTTTGGAGGTTGGCTTAAAGTTCAGACAAACATGGTAAATTTGATATAGCGCATTCTAGAGTCATGGAACCCCCCAAGGTGCTTTACAACACAATCAGTCATTCACCCATTCACACACACATTCACACACTGGTGGGGTTGAGCTACGATGTAGCCACAGCTGCCCTGGGGCGCACTGACAGAGGCGAGGCTGCCGAGCCCAGGCGCCACCGGTCCCTCCGACCACCACCAGCAGGCAACGTGGGTTAAGTGTCTTGCCCAAAGACACAACGACAGCGACAGACTGAGCGGGGCTCGAACCTGCAACCTTCCGATTATGGGGCGAGCACTTACAGTAACTCCTGTGCCACCATCGCCCCAGCATGGCAGTTAAATAGGTGGAATTTGGGGAATGAAGTGGATGTTTTTCTTTGCTGTGATTCTTTTAACCTAATGTCCTGTCCTCTAACTATGGAGCATCGTTGTTCTGCTGTGAAGCACTTTGGTCAATGTTCACATGCAATACACAAGGTACGGTATCTACATTAGGAGGTTAACCATCAGAGTTCTGCATGTCTGAGATCAGATTCCCTTTGTGGTGCAACACCGCCATCTTGTGTAAATACTGGGGACTTGAATGCTTCACTCTGTAAGATACACCTCACTGGTGCTGGGCTGGACCCCCTTTTTCCTTCAGAACGGTGTTAATTGCTCCTGCCATAGATCCATCAGAGTTCTGGGTTGGACTGAGATCTGGTGAATGTGGAGGTTGTTGGAGTCCAGAGAACTCGTGGTCATGTTCTAGAGACCAATTAGTGATGATCTGAGCTTTGTGACATGATGCTTGGTCCTGCTGGAAGTAGCATGAGAAGATGGGTGGTCATGAAGGGATGGACATGGTCAGGAGCAATGCTCAGGTAGGCCCTGGTGGTGCTGGGGGGGGGGGGGGGGGGGGTCCAAAGGGGGACAAGAACACCGCCTTACCTCCACCACCACCATTACACCAGCAGAGCATCAATGTTTGTGAAAACCTGCTTACGGTGAAAATGGTGGTGGCGCTTTGCGTAGCCATTTTCAGTATAGGTACATCATTTATCCTAACCCGCTGTTGGAGATTTCCTGCTTTTCAATCTAAATTTCACCAATCTGATGCTGCTGATGGCAATAAATGACCGTTCCTGAGGTCTCGTAGAGTGTAAGTGTGATAATTGTGCAATTCTTTGACACAATGACATAAATCAAACACTTGTGCCATTAATGATCACATTTAAGCTCGTCCATCTCCAGTAAACAACCTTCATTTGAACTTTTATTTCTTTTTGTTATTTTTACTAGTTTTAATGTTGCAATGCTTTATAATATATACATTTATATATTATTTATCATATTTATTGTAAATGAGAACAGTCCGTTGTCTTTATGCCTAATAGTTTAATCTTTTTTGATGTTGTATGTTTTTATCTTACCTGTTTCTTTGGTGTACAGCCAACTGTGTCTGCTGCTGCCTCTTGGCCAGGTCGTCATTGTAAATGAGAATGAGTTCTCAATGGACTCATCTGGATAAATAAAGGTTAAATAAAATAAACAAATTCTTTCATATAAGTGATTGTTGTGTGCGTCGTTTGTATTGAGTGTCTGTTATGTTGAACCAAGTCACCAAAGACTACTATCATCCATCCATCTCTGTCCATCCATCCTTCCTCCATCCATCCATCCATCCATCCATCCATCCATCCATCCATCTATCCATCTATCCATCTATCTATCTATCTATCTATCTATCTATCTATCTATCTGTCTGTCTGTCTGTCTGTCTGTCTGTCTGTCTGTCTGTCTGTCTGTCTGCTTACCTACCTACCCACCCATCCATCTTTCTGTTCGTCCGTTCATTCGTCCTTCCGTCCATCTACCCATCTGTCCCTCTGTCCATCAGTCCATCCATCTATTTATCTACCCATCCCTCAGTCTGTCCGTTCATCCATCTATTTATCTACCCATCCCTCAGTCTGTCCGTTCATCCATCCATCCATCCTTTTATCCACTTTTCATCCATCCAGCCAACCATCCATCCGTCTGTTCTTCTATCCATCATTCACACATCCATCATTTTCATCTTGTTGGCAATTTTTAGTTGTGTTTTATTTCCAATTTTCCCCAAAGTTGTCTCACATGTCTTGGACTTTCTGACTGATAAACCCAATTAAGAAGGGTGCTCGGTGTCTAAAAGACTGAGACACGTTCAAAATGTAACCAAGTTGACAACAAGTCTGCAATGTATGCAAGGACTCTCAACCAAAAGGTTTCAAATACACTTTCTTGCAAAGCTCGATCGTAATTACAGCCCAGCGAGTTTCTGACTTTAGTGCAAAACAAACCTTTGTAGACTTAAAAACCCAAACTCCATCGATTACATTTTAAAAATGTCAGTGTGGATCATGTCTACTAAATTAGGACAGTTTTACTCTCTGCAACTCTTCTAAAGACACATTAGATTCTTAACAGTAAATAAATCAAGTCTCTTTGTTCTTCAAGGCTTTAATCCTAACTGTCATTCAGCAGCAGCACAGTCACATTTGCTGTCCATTTCAATGGAGGTCAGAATGTCAGCTGGCTGCGCCTAGCTTCTACGCATGCTCAGTTCATCCCCTTCACGATGTACGCATGCGCAGTTGGCAATAGCGGTCATTGATTATAAAGCTCCAAGTTGCTCCGTCTCTTTCCACCTTCAGCCATTTTAACCATGTTAGGAGCTGTGGGACGCTGCTGCACCGGGGCTCTGCAGGCTCTCAAGCCTGGGGTCCAGCCTCTGAAGGCCCTGGTCGGATCTCCAGCCGTTCTTTCACGTAAGCCTCGCATGCGTGTTGGTTTTAGAGCGAAACCGTTAAAAGACAGACGTGGATTGAGAGGGCAGGGCAATGCTAAAGTTAGCTGTTAGCGACACGCTGGCTAACCGGCGGAATACCAGGCCTCGATGTTAAAATATTCAATTACAGTTTACTTTTAGCTATTTTAAAAGGATTAAAAAGGCACGTATGGGTGTGTATGCAACTTTTAAATGCGTCATGATCAGGAAAATGAGCAGACGGTTCTACCTCATGTGTTCTGGAGAATGACCTTTGTGTAATGACATGAGACGCTGTCAGGGAGCTAAGTTTGCTAGCATTACGAGCTGCAGATTAGCAAGGTGACTGGTCATCTGCAAAGTTTAACCACATTTTTTTTATGTTTTAAATAAAGAAATAAACATGTTAAATGAGGAACTGCTAACTAGATTATGTCAGGGAAACCTAGTTAGCTAAACTAGTGCGCCTCATTCATCCTTTAGTTGGAGGTACGCATGAACTTAACCCAATATTTTCCCACGTCTCGTTATAAAACAGGTCGTTTTGACATTCAAAAGGTGTTGGCGCAGTTAGCTGGAAAGGAACCTGCGCTGTTTCATTCATTGCGCTGTTCTAACCGGACGCTGTGTGTGTATCCCTCCGCAGGCAGGGACTATGCCGCTCAAGCCGCCGCCACCGCTGCTGGCGTCGCCAACGGGCGCATCGTGGCCGTCATCGGCGCCGTCGTCGACGTCCAGTTCGACGAGGGTCTCCCTCCCATCCTCAACGCCCTGGAAGTCACCGGCCGCGACAGCAGGCTAGTCCTGGAGGTGGCTCAGCACCTGGGTGAGCTTGTCTATGATGGTGTCCTTCCACCCTTTGACGACCCTAGAAGAAGCCACCGTGTTTGCTGAGGCTCTTGTGTTTACAGGGGAGAACACAGTGAGGACCATCGCTATGGATGGTACCGAGGGGCTGGTGCGTGGACAGAAGGTTCTGGACACCGGGGCCCCCATCAGAATCCCAGTGGGTCCCGAGACCCTGGGCAGGATTATGAATGTGATCGGTGAGCCCATCGACGAGAGGGGTCCCATTACCACCAAACAGTGAGTTCATTTTTATGGGACCAGCTAATTCTCCACTAAAATGCTCTGACTGCACTTTGAAATGTGAATATATCTTGTTCCAGGACTGCACCCATCCATGCTGAGGCTCCTGAATTCACTGACATGAGTGTGGAGCAGGAGATCCTGGTGACCGGTATTAAGGTGGTGGACCTGCTGGCCCCCTACGCCAAGGGAGGAAAGATTGGTATGCACCATTACCACCATGAGCTATGTGACAGTGAAGTCTAGATGGTTTTCATACGTTAGATGTTTTTGCTAGTACCATGGAGTCTTGGTGTCTCTAATCACTGGTTTGTGCTGCTGTTATTGGAGTGTTGGATCCTGATGACTTTGTTTGCCTTTCAAACTGTCTCCACACACACTTGACCAATCAGAGCATTGATCGATAAAATTTGTTCATTGTTATGGAATTCAGTCACCAGCAGGGTATCTGCGGGTCCTTTAAAAATTCTTAAAGTCTTAAATTTGCTTTTCCAAATTTAAAGCCTTAAAAATGAAAAATAATCCGTAAACAGTTTCCAAACGTCTTAAATTACCAAAGACCCAATAAACAAGATTCTTTTATTTCTATAAAATTTTCGTGAATTTCTAGTTAGTTCAGCATTTTTTTTGTGTATGATGTTGGCGTAAGCGGAACCGTACACATTCGGTTGGTTGTGAAAGGGGGCTATTTTTAGATGAGCACGCTAGTGGGAGCTTGCGCCATGGGGAAGTGCAACATTAATGGTAACTGGATGGCTAATCAAACTTTCACGACGTGGTTAGCACCGGTTCCAGGCAATAGCTGGATATTATAGCTTAAATTTAATTTAAAAAAATAGCTTAAATTTGGTCAAAGTGGCCTTAAAAAAGGTCTTAAAGTCTTAAATTTGGCTCCCTTAAACCTGCAGATACCCTGACCAGTGTAGTCCACCATGCATCCTTTTTCCACAATAAACACACGTAGAGTACCTCTATCTCAGTGGTTCCCAAAGAGTCAAAACTTTTCTACGGAGTTTCGATATGATAAAAAAAAATTTACAAATAAAATCTTGCTAACCTCAGCACAGATACAATTATGGGGACCCTAGTTTGGGAACCACTGCATCTGACCGTATCACCAAAGTCTAAATTGTCCAAAGTTGTTGCCAAAGCCATTTTAAAAGGGCACAATTTCTGAGGCGGCGCCATCTTTTTAGTTCTCTGCTAAAATGAGGCGTGGCTATACCGACCTGCAGATTAAAATCCGTTGCTATAGTTGGTCTAGGTCTGTAGGCTAGTTTGGTTTAGCTTCAGCATGTAATAACTATGCATGGATGACCAGAGGTGGGACCCCGTGGCGCTGACGTGTGTGTTCTGGTCTCAGGGCTGTTTGGTGGTGCCGGTGTGGGAAAGACTGTACTGATCATGGAGCTGATCAACAACGTGGCCAAGGCCCACGGTGGTTACTCCGTGTTCGCCGGTGTGGGAGAGCGAACCCGCGAAGGAAACGACTTGTACCATGAAATGATCGAGTCAGGTGTCATCAACTTGAAGGACACCACCTCCAAGGTGGGCGTTGTGAAGATCTGACCACCTGGTCATCCTTCTGGGTAAGGTCACTCCCTAACTTGGGCTCTCGGCTCTGCTAGGTGGCGCTGGTGTACGGGCAGATGAACGAGCCCCCCGGTGCTCGTGCCAGAGTGGCTCTGACTGGACTGACTGTGGCCGAGTACTTCCGTGACCAGGAGGGTCAGGATGTGCTGCTCTTCATCGACAACATCTTCCGCTTCACACAGGCTGGCTCTGAGGTTCGTTTCTCCTCGTGACTGAAAACGGAAAGTCTGTTTGTAATTTGCTGCTGATGAAGTGACTTCCTGTTCCAGGTGTCCGCCCTGCTGGGTCGAATCCCCTCCGCCGTGGGGTACCAGCCCACTCTGGCCACTGACATGGGTACCATGCAGGAGAGAATCACCACCACTAAGAAGGGCTCCATCACATCTGTGCAGGTAAAGATGGCGTCCGCCCACGGCGAACGTAGGATCTGTTGGGCTTTAGGTTAAACGCGTCTCCCTCTGGTAGGCCATCTATGTACCAGCTGATGATCTGACTGACCCCGCCCCCGCCACCACCTTCGCTCACTTGGATGCCACCACTGTGTTGTCTCGTGCCATCGCCGAGTTGGGCATCTACCCCGCCGTCGACCCGCTGGACTCCACCTCCCGTATCATGGACCCCAACATTGTTGGAGCTGAGCATTACGACGTCGCCCGTGGCGTGCAGAAGATCCTCCAGGTGAGAGACTTGATGTTGGCGACTAGTTGAATCTCGATCAGCCTAACTAGGTTCTGTTCTTTTACCAGGACTACAAGTCTCTCCAGGACATCATCGCCATCCTCGGTATGGATGAGTTGTCTGAGGAGGACAAGTTGACGGTGGCCCGTGCTCGTAAGATCCAGCGTTTCCTGTCCCAGCCCTTCCAAGTGGCCGAGGTCTTCACCGGTCATTTGGGCAAGCTGGTGCCCCTCAAAGAAACAATCAAAGGCTTCAAGAGCATCCTCGGTGGTGAGTGTCCTCTTGGGTATGATCTCTAACCTTCTCAGCTCGAGTTCGACTAATGCGTGTTGTTGTTCAGGCGAGTACGACGCCCTGCCTGAGCAGGCCTTCTACATGGTCGGGCCCATTGAAGAGGTGGTCCAGAAAGCAGATAAGCTGGCTGAGGAGCACTCATAAACATCTGAACATTTTACCTCAGCGGAGAAGAGGAGGTCCTGTGGTTAGGAGCACTTGGTTTGTAAAACATGTCCAAATACAAATGTACCCGTCTGTCATCCTGAAGAGAAGTTCTATTTAATGTTTCCAGTCAAAGATGGAATAAATTCCTGTCTTTACACAAACCAACTCAGCTCTGGGCTTCGTTTTTGCTAGTTTAGCTCAACGTTTTAATTCTTGTGAGGAATTTGCTGAAGTGTTGGGTGGAATTATCAATCTGCCCACAAGGTGGCAGCCTGGAGCCGTACTAAGCTTTGACGTTACATCCTGAAATAAAAGGTGGACAAAGACGGATGATGTTTGTTGTGTTTTCCCACTTTTGGCGACTTTAGCTGGCTTCATTCTAATCAAGTTCATCAGCTAACATGACTAGATTTCTACGTGACACCGGCGAGTTTTGGAAAACAAACATTTTGTTCAAATTTGAAACAACAAATTGTTTCCTGTGTGGAACGTTGTACAATTGGCACAAAATATGAAATTTTTAGGGCCACAAATGTTAAATAAAATTAAATTCACCATTTGTTAAGAGCCGGCTAACTTTTGGCTCCTTGGTCATTGTTTAACCAAAATGTAGAGAGAAAGTTTAACTTGTGTTTAACTTTAAAAGTGAATGCAAACCCAACCGGATTTGAGTTTTCTGAGGTACGTGTTATGGGATGGCAGGGATGCTGCTGGCCTCCATTGGACTGGGGTTGGGGTGAAGGTTGCACACAACGCCAATTAGAGTACTTTTGAAAATGCAGAAAATTTTTGTGGAGTACAAAGTAAAAGTACAAATGACCAAAGTACTGATATGAAAATTGGTAGTTTTAATCTTAGACTTTTACTCAAGTTTGACTTGATTCAGGAAATATTTCAACAATTGCTGATATTCAAGAAGTAATTACTTCTTTGTTTATTTTGCTCAACATTTATGCTGCTTATAATATTGCACTGTCCCACGTAGCACGGCCATAGATGTAGGATCATTGCAATTTAGTCACAACTTGTTCGTGACTTGATTTGTTCACAAATTAATGCAGTTTTACTTTTGTTGTAGGGCTGGGCGATACGGCCTAAAATCAATATCACAACATTGAGGATTTCCCCTCTTAACGATAGACGATAACTACGAGTATACGCAGAAACAAGTTGTCCACTAGATGGGGCTGTCATGTAAATTACATTGAGTCAAATTTTTACGTGACTCAAGGTGGTAAAGCTTCTTAAAAGGACATGAATGTTGCCAATCCACACACATCTTTTCATTTTTTTTAATGATCAAATTTATTGACATGGGAAAAATCGGGAGTCAGAAATGTCTACGATAAATTTTATTACTCAGCCCTAGTTTGTTGCCAGAGATTTTTCACTTATCGTATAGATGTGTTCTAGCTGCCTGCAACACAAGAACCAAGACGTTTTATAATTTCCACTGTGATTGTTTGCATTGGTTGAGGCCAATTTAACCTTTGAAGCCGAGAAGAAGACGATGGTTGTCTTTTCCAGACATAAACTAGAGGCGGTTTAAAAGTATAGCAGAGCCTTGTAATAAGACATGGATCGGAAGTATGTTTGCTAGTTGGAGGTGTTGATGTGTTTCTAGAACAGAAAAATTCTTTAAAGGGACGTTATGGAAGTTAGACAGCCAAAACATGTATAGAAATAATAAATGTCTTCTTCATACATTCTCCTGCAATGCCCTGGTCCTGTAGAACGAGCCCTGGCATTTTTACTGTGATTGCCTGTTTTTCTGTAAAATCACAGAAAAAGAGAGATGCTCGGGTCGAGCAGGCTGCTTCATGCGCGTTCACGCTCAGGCATAGCCCGTAGCATTTGCTATCCGTAGCTTTAGCAGCAGAGAGAGAGGCAGTGCCACTTTGTCGCTGTTCCTAACGCCTAGTGACAAAGCTAGCTACATTTCTGAGGACCCTTAACTACTTTCTGTAGAACTTTCTTCTAGATATTTCCTGCAAATTAGCAACAAAATAGCCATTTTCACTCCGAACCGTTCTTTGGTTTGACGTTGTTTCAGCTGTCATCAAGGAAATAAACGTTACAGATGCTATGAATGTTACTAGAGTGTAGCTCACCTTGTAAGATGTCTGACTCTCATAAAAGACCTGGGTTTGATTCTGGATGTGAACATAGTTTATTTAGAGTTTCTTTTTTACATTAATGATATAATTTTTTTTACAGTAAGACGCCCAAATTTTTATTTGAGACTTGCTGAACGGCATTAAATTCACAGATAAAAAAAGATGTGAGTTCAACTTTCATTTTGGAACAATTTTTCAAGCAAGGGAAGGGAATGATCTGAGCATGCAGGAGGACTGACCCATCATAAACCTTTGTCGGCTGTGCTGAAGAGAAAGGTACAGAACCACATTATTTAATTAATTAGCTGCACGTTCTCCTGTCCTCTGTCCTCCTGGCCACACACACACACACACACGGGACTGTCTCAGCTGTTATTTTCGTTAAGGAGTGTGCACGTACAGCATGCACGCCTCGTGCACGAGCCTACTATTGAAGCTGCCATTACGCTTTTGGCCTGAGGGGGCAATCGCGAGCTTAAAAATTCAAAAGTCCGTAAAGTCCCTTTAAATGAGGGCAGTTGTCTAGAGATGCGGATGTGATGCAACACAGCTAAACAATCCTCAGGGCCTAAATTAGACCTGATACATGGCAGGTTGGTACGTGTTTCACAGCAACGTTTTAGATCAAAACACTCGAGGTGATTCACTTCCTTGTTCCATGATGTTAGTGTTAAAGCGAGCCAAAGTTAAGATCACGCTACGAAAGCGCTGCTTACCAAACTATTCTCTAATATAGACTAAAGTTGAGGCTGTTTTTTAAGCTTTTCCAAACATTCAAATTAATAAAGTATAATTAGGTTTTCAGTACATTGACCATTTAGGATGTTCTCCATTATCTAAATCTAGTTATAGTTGGGTGTATCTTGTTGGAACAGGGATCTAGGCTGGGATCTTCTCTCATTTTTAAGTTAAAACAAAAATATTAAAGTAATAAACCAATTCTGTGTCAGGTAACGTTTTTGTGCCAAAATCTGGAATATTCCTCTGCAGGTATTCCAATTTAGACATCAGGTCCAAGACTTGCACCTTTACATACAGGTGCTGGCCAGTAAATTAGAATATCATCAAAAGGTTGAAAATATTTCAGTAATTCCATTCAAAACGTGAAACTTGTACATTATATTCATGCAATGCACACAGACCAATGTATTTCCAATGTTCATTACATTTAAATTTGATATTTATAGGTGACAACCAATGAAAACATCAAATCTGGTATCTCAGAAAATTAGAATATTCTAAAGGCCAATGAAAAAATGTTTGTTTCTCTAATGTTGGCCAACTGAAAAGAATGAACATGAAAAGAATGTGCATGTATAGCACTCAATACTTAGTCGGGGCTCCTTTTGCCTCAATAACTGCAGTAATGCGGCGTGGCATGGACTCGATCAGTCTGTGGCACTGCTCAGGTGTTATGAGAGCCCAGGTTGCTCTGATAGTCGTCTTCAGCTCCTCTGCATTGTTGGGTCTAGCGTATTGCATCCTCCGCTTCACAATACCCCATAGATTTTCTATGGGGTTAAGGTCAGGCGAGTTTGCTGGCCAATCAAGGACAGGGATACCATGGTCCTTGAACCAGGTGCTGGTGGTTTTGGCACTGTGTGCAGGTGCCAAGTCCTGTTGAAAGGTGAAGTCTGCATCCCCATAAAGTTGGTCAGCAGCAGGAAGCATGAAGTGCTCTAAAACTTCCTGGTAGACGGCTGCATTGACCCTGGACCTCAGGAAACAGAGTGGGCCAACACCGGCAGATGACATGGCACCCCACACCATCACTGACGGTGGAAACTTTACACTGGACCTCATGCAACGTGGATTCTGTGCTTCTCCGCTCTTCCTCCAGACTCTGGGTCCTTGATTTCCAAAGGAAATGCAGAACTTGCTTTCATCAGAAAACATAACTTTGGACCACTCAGCATCAGTCCAGTCCTTTTTGTCCTTGGCCCAGGCGAGACGCTTCTTGCGCTGTTTCTTGTTCAAGAGTGGCTTGACACACGGAATGCGACACCTGACTCCCATGTCTTTCATGAGTCTCCTCGTGGTGGTTCTTGAAGCGCTGACTCCAGCTGCAGTCCACTCTTTGTGGATCTCCCCCACATTTTTGAATGGGTTTGTCGTCACAATTCTCTGCAGGGTGCGGTTATCCCTAGAGCTTGTACACTTTTTTCTACCACATTTTTTCCGTCCCTTCGCCTGTCTGTTAATGTGCTTGGACACAGAGCTCTGCGAACAGCCAGCTTCTTTAGCAATCACCTTTTGTGTCTTGCCCTCCTTGTGCAAGGTGTCAATGATTGTCTTTTGGACAGCTGTTAAGTCAGAAGTCTTCCCCATGATTGTGGTGCCTTCAAAACAAGACTGAGGGACCTTTTAAAGGCCTTTGCAGGTGTTTTGAGTAAATCAGCTGATTAGAGTGGCAGCAGGTGTCTTCTATATTCAGCCTTTTCAGAATATTCTAATTTTTTGAGATACCAAATTTGGAGTTTTCATTAGTTGTCACTTATGAATATCAAATTTAAATGTAATGAACATTGGAAATACATTGGTCTGTGTGCATTGCATGAATATAATGTACAAGTTTCACGTTTTGAATGGAATTACTGAAATATTTTCAACCTTTTGATGATATTCTAATTTACTGGCCAGCACCTGTACTAACAAGACCAATGCCACCATTCCACAGTAACACGACCTTCATGAAGAGGAGCAGCTGAGTAGTTGTGGCTGATACTGATGTGCGCATGGCCAACATCTGTTTGATTCAAGTAGAACTTGTGGCCGTGTGCAGAACGCTGCTGGAGTTCATGAATAAGCAGCGGTCTGCCTGCCGCTCTGCATCTCTGCCCAAAAGAATCCCCGCTACGCTGAGTCCATGTAAATAATATAAGTAGAAACTGGACCTCTTTTGTGCTCCTTCTGGGTGTGTAAGTTAAGGGCATCAGGGGAGCCTGACAACCTTTAAGGAGAACCAAGGTGCTTTCCTATAATTTGAACCCAGTATCCAACTCCGGATCGGGGCTTGGATCGGGAAGTAAAGCCTGAGTCCCGATCACG